TCATTTTCATTTTTAAATTTATTTTTATTTGTAAATTTTACTTTATTTATGTTATTTAGTATTATATATATATATATATATATATATATATACATATATATATATGTATATATATATATATATATATTATTTTATTTTGTTTGTAAATTTATTCATTTTTTATTTTTAAATTTATTCATTTGTCCCAAATAAATTTATATTATTTCATTATGTTTACTTAATTTAATTTAACTTTTAATTTTTAATTTAGTTTATCTTAAAAGTAAATTTTTTAGTGATCAAATATTTCCATTTTGGAATATTTATCAGCCGGCGAATTTTCACATCTTCGCGAAGCCGAGGTCGAGCGTCGACGCACTCGGGTCCCTCTTCTTCGTGGCATAGAGAACGCGAATAATCGTGAGGGCGACGCTCCCTTGAAACAATCCCGCGACGAAGTTCACTTCAACAGCAGCTGCACAAACACCCGAGACGCGTCGTCCTTTTAGAAGCCTCGCGGGAGACTCAAGTTAATCCCGCGTCTCGCGGCGCGCTCGTGAAGCGAGTCCGCTTCTTTCCCGCGTACCGTCGCTCGTACGGAGTTGTTAAAGTTTCCTTTTTCGCCGGGACTCTATTCTCGCAGAGTTTTCTCGGGAAAGCCGTAGACGGAGTTCCTGTGAACGGGACGCGATCCCCGGGTCATACGTCGTCGTGCTTCTTACGCTCACCTGCGCACAGAAATCACTCGCGGAAGAAGTTTTATCCCGGGAAGGCGTAATATGTGTGTGTGTGTGTGTGTATATATATGTGTGATTTCATTAAAACACGATAAATCTTGATTATGCCGTTCCCGCGGGAGTAGACGCGACTAAGAGACGAACGTGTCCGTCGTGGCGATGATGTAACGACTGTCTTAAAAGGACGGAACTACTGCTCGGCATTGTTACTGCCATCACTATTTTTCTCACGATACTATAACGGCGAACAGGTAGGATAACGTGGCTCGTGACGTATCGCAGCCTGCGCAATGATTCGATGCAACCGGTGGAATCGCCGCTAATAAGCCTTGCACAATATCAAAGGATACCGCGCTGATCGCCAGCCGACTTACGTCAGGTAGCTCGTAGTAAAGGCTAGAGTTCCCCTCAAGTAAGTGCGTGAACAACGTTTGATTTTTGGATCGAAAATGGCGTTTGTTTTACTTATCAAGAATATCTACTCGGTTTGACTCGAGTTAATCTTTAACAGAAACTTTCCTGTACATTTATTTGTAATACTTTTGATAAAAATAGATCTTTCAATTTCTAAGAAATTAATTTTTATATTTATCTCCCAATATAAAATAGCATTTTCTTCTACAGGAAAGTCTTTAGAATTTTGTAGAATCTCTTCATATATGTCTCTTCATATGAAATCAGCCATTTTCGGTCAAACTAGACCAATCAGTAAGAAATAAAAAATGTCCAAACTCTTGTTTGAGGGACTCTATTAAAGGCGGCGCAGGACAGCTATATGATATTTTTAACCGACAAACAAACTCTTACAAGTAAACTTACCCAAAAGGTACACTCCGATTTCTTCCTGATTTGACACAAATGTAGAAGTACAAAAAATATTTAGGTAATATTTTTTCACTTTGACTCACTTTGAGTTTCACGGGCAGTTTATAGCTTTTTAATGTTCTCACTCATATCATTAACAACTACAACAAAAATGCATAAGAAATAAAATTAAATACAAGATATAGGCATATTTTATTTGCTGATTATGAATATGAAGTTAAATGTGTAATATTATTATGTATTATGTTAAACGTGTAATATTATTTGTATAAATAATAAAATATTTAAACAAAATATGTAAAAAGTTGAAAAAAAATTATTTATACAAATAATTTCTCGGTTTGGTCGAAATTCGAGCCATTTTTTATTAATTTCGCACAGATTTGAAATATTTCTGTTGGAATCTTGGCTAAAGAAATTTAGAATGGTTTGTGTCTCAGCTATATTGATTTTGTTAAAATTTGAATTAAAATTGCTGAATTTCGGTTTGGCCGAGATTCGAACCACTTTTGATTAATTTAGCATAGATTTGAAATATCTCGGTTGGAATCTCAGCTAAAGATATTTAGAATGATTCGTGTCTCAGCTATGCCGATTTTGTTAAAATTTGAATTAAAACTGGATTTGTCTCGATTTGGCCGAGATTCGAATCATTTTTGTCTAATTTAGCACAGATTTAAAATATTATGTTTGGAATCTCGGCTAAAGAAATTTAGAATAGTTCGTGTCTCAGCTATGCCGATTTTGTTAAAATTATTTAACTATATTTTGTATTTAATTTTATTTTTTATGCATTTTTCTTGTACTTGTTGATGATAGGAGTGAGAACATTAAAAAGTTATAAACTGCCCGTGAAACTCAAAGTGGGCCAAAATGAAAAAATATGACCTAAATATTTTTTGTACTTCTATATTTGTACCAAATTAGAAAGAAATCGGAGTATACCTTTTGGGTAGGTTTACTTGTTAGTAAATAATGGAAAAAATTGTGTGATAAAAAATTTAGAAAAAATCAACTGTCTTCAAAAACCTCATAGGCTCAAGTTTAAATGTCAAGGGACGTTCGCGAATTCCAGGTTCTTCCGAAACCTACAGAAACGGGCATGGATCTTTCCTCCGCCAAAGTGTGCGCGATTGTCTCAATAGATTAGACGTGAGAACCGGCGACTTACCGTTCGAAGACTTCTCGTGTTTCTGTCGCAAAGATCACGAATAAATAAATTCAGGAGTCATCGCTGCCGACTCGCGTGTCTACGTCCTCACACGCATGTCGTACATCAGTCGTGCATCAGTGGCAAAACGAATTTTACGATAGGTCACTCCGGGACGATGGCGAGGCTGATGAATAACGCGCCGAAAGATAGCCCTGATGCGGGGACTAATCTCGGACGGTTTTGCAGTCGCCACCGCTGGAAAACAACACACATGCACCCCCGAGACGCAACGGCGCGGCGCAGTAGCGTAACTAACGCTCGAGCCAGCCGCGTTTCCACTCTACGACGCGCACGCGGGGGTGTGCTCCAAGGGGATCGATCTTGATTATCTCGTTCCGTTGACGGCGCTCGTCGCGAATAATAAATCGTCCCATCTGCCTTCCCGACCGTTCGCGCCGCTTTCAATAATTCTGAACAATTAATAATGCAGGGGAATTGCTTTTTTAAAGCCGAAGACGCGATGCCGTCGGCGCCCGATTGTCGGAGCTGGTGAGAACGGTGGTGAGAACTCGATCGTGATCGAGGGTGACGCTTCGGGGTTCGTGAAAAATGCGTAGCGCACCGATTCTCGGCGAGAGGTATCGAGAAATCCTTTGAACTCGCATTTCCCGCGGATTACCGTAAATTCGTTATTTCATTCCGCTCGATTCTATGCTTTTCCATTTGGAAAAGCTCTTTTCTCTCTGTCTTTCTTTCCCTTTTTCTCTCTTATCTTTTCACATTTACTTATGTTATCATATTGAACTTTTTTCTATACTTAATAGCATTTAATCATTTCATCTTATTTTTCCTTTTCTTTTCTCTTTCATATCCCATACATTTATTCCTTTTTATTTCTCTTTCATATCCCATACATTTATTCCTTTTTATTTCTCTTTCATATCCCATACATTTATTCCTTTTTATTTCTCTTTCATATCCCATACATTTATTCCTTTTTATTTCTCTTTCATATCCCATACATTTATTCCTTTTTATTTCTCTTTCATATCCCATACATTTATTCCTTTTTATTTCTCTTTCATATCCCATACATTTATTCCTTTTTATTTCTCTTTCATATCCCATACATTTATTCCTTTTTATTTCTCTTTCATATCCCATACATTTATTCCTTTTTATTTCTCTTTCATATCCCATACATTTATTCCTTTTTATTTCTCTTTCATATCCCATACATTTATTCCTTTTTATTTCTCTTTCATATCCCATACATTTATTCCTTTTTATTTCTCTTTCATATCCCATACATTTATTCCTTTTTATTTCTCTTTCATATCCCATACATTTATTCCTTTTTATTTCTCTTTCATATCCCATACATTTATTCCTTTTTATTTCTCTTTCATATCCCATACATTTATTCCTTTTTATTTCTCTTTCATATCCCATACATTTATTCCTTTTTATTTCTCTTTCATATCCCATACATTTATTCCATGTTATATTTCTTTATATTTTCATCTTATTTTTCTATTTGCAATTCACGTTCTCATAGCTCTGATCCTAGAAAGTTAATAGATGTCCTTGTCTGTCTATCCATTTTTTTTCCCCTGATAGAAATTTAATACAGTTTTCGAGCAGCTGTGCTAGACTGCTAGACAAATATTAACTTTTGTCTAGTAAGTGAAGAGTAAAACTACTTAAGATCCTAATCAGGATGTAACGCTGTTACTATGTACGAAGGACGTGTTTGAACGAAAATTTGAACAGAACAGTAAATGCGCAAAAAGCTATTCAATTTATTATTAATCAAATATGCCGTTCATTAAATAAACAGGTTCATCTAAATAGTATTTCATCTTTTGTGCACGTTGAAAAATTTTGGTTGTCATCTCCTCATCAAAGCTTGATATTATCAAACTAATTCCCTTCAATTTCCTTTTTTATGTTTGTTTACATATTTGTCTATAAGTTCACTCGTCGTTTAGACGACATTTAGTTCTCTTTTAACAATGTCAGATTTATTTAGGATAGGAATTATGATATATACATAGTTATGAAACTAAACTAATATTTATTATACTACGTCTTGGAAAGAATCGGTCCACGTATTGTATAGCAAACTGCTTCAACCATTCAATTAAGGAGACTGGAGGATCAGATTGCCTAAAAATCGTGCTTGTTTTTTCACAATTTTTTATGACGAACTGAATGAATATGCGAAAGTGTTATTTTGACGTGTATTTGTACAACATATAAAGAGAAGAAAAATATAATTTTGATGAACAAATACTCAATATAAGTGTATGGTATATGCAGTTAAAATATATTTCGGTTTTCTTTTCAAAGTTGTCATTTTGCAATAATATCTCGACTCTCGGTGGTTTAATTAAGCTGAATTTTAGGTAAAACATTTCCGTTTATCATTATCGAGAAAACCACTGACAAACTCGTGAAAATATTTAATTTTTTTACTATGAAAGAACTAAAAATTTTAATAATATTCCATTAAGATATTTGCAATTTTGTTAACTTTTACTCAATTTCTATTATAATAGTTTACCCGATAACAACAAGCTTACAGAAATTTTTTATCTAAAATTCAGCTTAATTGAACCACCGAGAGTCAATATATTACTGCGAAATGACAACCTTGAAAAGAAAAACGAAATATATTTTAACTGCATGTACCATATACTTATATGAGTATTTGATCATCAAAATTATATTTTTCTTCTCTTTATATGTTGTATGAATACACGTCAAAATAATACTTTCGCATATTCATTCAGTTTGTCATAAAAAATTGTGGAAAAGTAAGTACGATTTTCAGACAATCTGACCCTCCGGTCTCCTTAAACTCCATCAACTTCTTGTCCATTTGCTACACGGCATTTTTACAACTAATGCATTAATACTAGACAATAACTGGACAACTGCGCACATTTCTACCAGGGTTCTCTCGCGTGCCTTATTCCTTTTCCTCTGTCGGTTATGCCACTAGATCGCAACCGGGGTGAAATTAATGCACCCATGTCCCATCTCTCTGCCCCGTCGGTTGCCGGGAAAATTAACCGCGGTCATCGTATCTCTGGAGCGGCGCGTCGTCTCCTCGCGTCGGGATTTCGTTAACTGTCTTCGATCTCGCGAGATACGCGATCGCGATCTCGCGACGTCCCCTCGGGCCTTTCACGCTGTCCAAGTAATTCCGGGTGAAATATGTGTTGTTTTGAATTTTCGGTCGCGCCACGTGAGAATAGAATTAAACATATGCGAAAGTGCACGCGTTAATTTAATAATAGCGAAGCCCTGACATCCAGTTTGAAATCTTGCAGATTTACAACTCCGCGAAACGCAAATTCGCGAATTGACTTTTTGCGTAATAATGACCGATACACGTTTAGTTGTGATACCATAATTACGATATTAAGTATAATTATCTGCAAACAGCGAGTGCTCATAAACGGATGAGAATAACAACGTTTGTTCGCAAAATGATTTTCGCATCGCACTTGCCATAAGCGCACCTTGAATAAACTCCGACTCCCAAAAAATGTACACACGCGCTCCTACAAACAATGTCGAGAATATTGAGGCTAAATCCCCCATATTTCAGAATTTCGTACTTATATTTCCTCAGATAACCAATTGTGACTGACTGTACAAACATGATAGAAACAGCCTTCTTCTATATGTTAGTTCTCACAACGATCTTAATATTGTGTTTTGATTTTAAATTGTCAAGAAAATAATTTTAATAAATCAAATATGTTAAATCTTAGATTTTCTGAATCAGCTTGTAAGAAGCTGTAAAAAATCTAAGACGTAGAAAATATGAGAGAAGATAGATTTCGAGCATGGTTCTCATTCACGATGGAGAATATTAATACAAAATTTCGAAGGGCTCAAGAATTTACTTTGCTACTACTAAATTAGTTTTTTCTATTTTTTTACTGTAATATTATACCGATTTTAATGAAACTCGAGTAAAAACATCTATGTTCTAAAAGGATGATTTCGCGATTTTGTATCTATTGTTCCTCTCAAGATAAATACTGAAGAAACTACATGAACAACATATCCCTGGAGTTATCTAGACTTGATCTCATGCTAATTTCGCCTATAACTGAGCTTGTGACAGATCGCATGTATCATCGATGAATCCGCGTGGTCGCGATAACAGCTGCGTGATAGCGAATCGTTTCACGCGCTACGACCGAAATGTCACGGATGATTAGAAAACGATTAGACCATCGAAATACGCTTGTCGGTAATAAATTCAAACGCGTGTCGTTATTATCGTTCCGTCGTTATGAAAATAGGATCTTGCTTTCACCGAGCGAAAACTCGGTTATCGTCAATCGCTTGGAGAAGCAACGTCCTTTAATCTTGAGGAAGAATGTCTTATTTATTATTAGCATATCAGAAGCGTAGCAGAGAAGTTTAAATATACTTTTGTTTATATATTTAGAATCATACGAAAAGAGGGATAGATGTTTAAGAACGAGAGAGGAAAGGAGAAGGCGATAGAGTCAGCACAGAAAAAAATTAGTATTCACTTAACAAACTAATATACTTAAATTAACAATCATTGTTTCATGTATAAGCAACAATATACAATTTTGTCGAAACGAGATTTCAAGTTTTTTTTTCAAGTTTTGAATTTCGATATTGTTATGTTTATTTTATTTGAATATTACAATAGTCTCATAAAAATACAATATGATTTTTTTGATAATAATGATATATAAAATATCTTTTTCCGACATTTAAAAATATAATTTTCAATTCGATATTTGGTACTTTTCATTCACGAACATTACTTTTTTAATAATAAGAATATAATTTTCTCTGTTGAATCACATATAAGATGTATCGATACAAGTAACTCACCTTTGTTTAACTCTATGTAATCTCATATTAAGATTTACTTGTCAAAAGAGAATAATACTCTTAAAACAAGAATGTTCCTTTTCTTATGTAAAAAATTTCGAAATCTCCAATAATAATTTTCCTCAAGATGAATCGAGACATCGATCTTCCTTTCTCTCTCTCTCTCTCTCTCTCTCTCTCTCTCTCTCTCTCTCTTTTGCCTCATCGAGGATGTCCTGCGAACATATCCGGCGAGATCGGGAAATCGAATTTTCTGCGCGACGAAGCCCCCGCGGATCGAAGCGACCAGCCGACTTTGCGAGGTCATCGCACGCGAGGAGACTTTTATCTTCCGGCTTAGCAGCGAGACAAACGGAAGATTGGGGGATCCTTTAACGCGCGTTTCGCCGGACAGAGAGTGGTGCGGAGGGTACATTTGTAAGGGCTCCCACGGGGATCGATCTGTCGTGTTGTACTTCCTCTGGCTTCGAGAAAGTATCGACAACGCGACGCGACGCGGCGCGCCGGCCGGCTCTCGTCTTCGAGACGATTGATAGCACGAGGAAGCTCAAGACACGCGTTTCCCGGCGCCGATCTTGCCGCCGTAATCGAGACGGGATCTCATGGAAGGGAAAGGTCGAGGGCGCGCGCCGTGAGTGCTTCTCTTTAGAAGCGGAATTTATTCCGGAAGTAAGAGTATCTTTCGAATATTGTGTAGATTGTTTTCATTCTCCTCTCACGGAGAAATCGTTGGTAATTTCTATAATGAACAAACAAAAGATGCTCATTCTTTTGTAGAAAACTCGTCGATGATTTTCACATAAAAAAAAAAAGAAATTTATGCTTTTGACTCACCCTTAGTTTTTGATTAAATTAAATCGCGACTAAATTTATATCGTAATCGAATATAGAGAACGAATAAAAAAGTTGCAGTCCTTGTTCTTCTCTCCAAAAAATAGCGATTTCTGTATTAAAAAAAAAGAAAAAAATTGGCATTTTCGGCCGACTTTGAATTGAATCGCGATTAAATTTGTATCACGATTGAAAACTAACAATGAATAAAAAAAATTGCAAGTCATCCTTGTTCTTCTCTTTAAAAATAAATTATCAGTGACATCTGTGTAAAAAATGAAATTTGATGGCTTTTTTAGTATGAAAAAATTTAAATAAAAATTTGTACCTTATCCTCATTTTTTTGAAACAAATTGTTTGTGATTTACATATTGAAAATAAGATTTATGTTGTTGACCTAAGTTTTCAATTGAATTGAGTCGCGCTTGACTTTGCATTACGACCGAGAACTGATAACGAGTTCGCGACACGATCTATACGGAACGAACGACCCCTGAAACATTCCCTGCGTCGTTTCTATTTCGCGGATACAGCGCGGCGCTTCATCGCCGACAATGGAACGAATTGCGAAAGCGCTGAGTCAGTTGTCCCGCGGCTAATTAACGATGTCCATTCCGCAGGGCGCACTTAAAGCCCATCTACAATGGCCGTAAGGCGTGGCAGCGTAAGAAGTAAGAATTAAGCAGTACGAAAGTTCACCAGTCACAGTCGATTGTTTCGGACCGTAAAGAGAATCATCGACTGCGACTTTGCTTACTGCTTAAAGCTACGTTTATGAGGCACGCTATCAGCGCTGTTTAACGCTAACGCGTCACTCCATCCTTGTCGTATACTCGCAAAGAGTGGTAATGACGGAATGACGCGTTAGCGTTGATAGCGCGCTATCCGAACGCATCCTGAGTCTCACTTCTTACGCTTCCGTGGTTTACGGCCGTTGTAGATGGGCCTTTAAAAAAGATGACGGGCAGCAGTAACAACAAAATGGGTCAGGGGGTGACGTCGGTCCGTGGTGATGGCAGGAAGCACATGGTTCATTGGTTCCGCAAGGGGCTTAGGTTGCACGACAACCCTTCGTTAAGGGAGGGCCTGGCAGGCGCGTCCACTTTCCGGTGCGTCTTCGTGCTGGACCCCTGGTTCGCCGGAAGCACCAACGTCGGCATCAATAAGTGGAGGTGAGCGAGTGCGATACTGCGAAGTCGAAGGGGAGATCGATACCAGCTCCGAAGGCTTTGAGCGCCTTGGTGAAGTTTTTCGAGTCTCTCGTGAAGTACCGCGCCCATAACCGAGCGCGTTGGCGCACCAAGTGCATCGTTCGTATTACCGTTCGTGAGATCGGAGGATAAATCTTTCAAAGGAATATCTCTCTCTCTTTTGTCTTTTTTATTTCCTTATCGTCAGTTTTCTCACAAGCGAATGCTGACGTCGAGTATCTAATTATAATTATCGATAACGATAATAATCGTCATGATACAAATATAAATATTTAAAAAACGTGAATATTTAATGGAAAAATTATTGGAAGATATAAGATATAGAGATAATTTATAAATATATAACTGGTATATAAATATTTATATATAATATTTATTGTATAATATACAATGAATATTCATTATAGAAAAAATTATTATGTAATATATATAATATTAAATGAATATAAATATTTAATAATTATATTGAGAGATATAAAATAAAAAAATAGATTGTAAATATATTATATAGATATTAGTGATTTTATAGTATTTAATATTCACGTTTTAGATGCTTCTTCGTTGGTAACATAAATGAAGATGAAGTTTAAATCTGAACGGATATAATGTCGCGACACCGATCGGGTGTAACGATTATTTAATTTGTCGATAAGTGGTACATCGATGTTCCATAAACAGCGCGGTAGATCTTCGTCGCATCACGCAATCTCATTGCATTACTGCGGCGGAGATTCGAGCGCGGTTCTCGTCGTCGATCATTTGTCATGTTGATTAAGCGTTATGCAACCGTTTCCTAAGCGATCGCTTAGATGCTGTCGATAATTCCACTGAATCACAGTTGACAAGGAGGACATTAGCGACAACGACATCGACCAAAAATGAGTCACGCGAGAACGACGCGCCGCGTATTTGCATGTCGTGTGGTTTTACGACAATGTTCCTTAATTGCTCCGATTTGATCGTAGCGCAGATATCTTACAAAGTGTCACGCGAGCATACACTGTTCGTCTTCGTCCTCCGATCGTTTTTGCGATTTCGAAAACGACAGTCTTTCGATGTATTCATTTATTGATAAAAAAGAATTAAAAATTCTTTTGCTTCTTAATTTCTTCATTTGAATTTTAGTCATCAATTCTTCGAATCTAATAATTTCGAAAAGGACTTGTAATATTTTTTCTTCACTCCTTGACAAAAAAATCAAATTAATTAAAAATTCTCTTGGTTTTCAATTTATTCATTTCAACTGCAATCATCTCGTTTTTCGAGTTTAATAATTTTCTGTAATTTCAAAAACAACACCCTTTTGATATTTGCTTATTGACGAAAAAGACAATTAAAAGTCCGTTTGTTTCTCAATCTCTTAATTTCAATTTTAACTATCAATTCTTGGAGTCTAATAATTTCTTATAATTTCGTAAACGACAACCTTTCGGTATTTATTCATTGAAAAAAATAGTTAAAAACTTTGTAGCCTTTCAGCTTTTTTAAATTTTAATTGCAACAGCTGTTCATTCCTCGAGTTGAAATCACGTCTATCGCAATAGTTACGTCATCCACATTTTGTTGAATAATGAAACGCGACGGTGGAAGCTTGAGATAATTCCGTCGACCAGTAATATCGCCAAGATCTCGCCGTAATCTCGTCTCAGACGCGAGATCGCACTGAAAATGCATGAAGCTCCCCTGAAAATACTCGTAATTCGTCCGGACACTCGATCATTTCATCCCACACGTCGCCTGTGCGGCAGGTTTCTGCTGCAGTGCCTGGAGGATCTGGACTGCTCCCTGAGGAAACTCAATTCTCGTCTGTTCGTGATCCGAGGCCAGCCTGCCGACGCGTTGCCCAAGCTATTCAAGGAGTGGGGCACGACGGACCTGACCTTCGAGGAGGACCCGGAGCCGTTTGGTCGCGTGCGAGATCACAATATCTCGGCGCTCTGCAAGGAGCTCGGCATCTCAGTGGTGCAGAGGATCTCGCACACTCTCTACAAACTGGACGAGTAAGTACCGAAGGCCTTTACAACTTCCGAACAGCTTCTGCGACTAATCACGTTGACGATCCAATTGAGCGGCCGGCTGTTTCTCGCTTAATTACAGTCGCGCTAATGACGTAGAGAAGTCTCGTTGAAAACTAGAAGACAGCAGATGTTTAGCAGAAATTTACTTGATTGGAACCGTGGCTGTCAAATACGTTCATTATTATCATTGAATTATTATTATCCTCTTGGGCTCTCTCTTCATCGTTCGAGAGATGACAAATTTTCCATTTATGATATTTCATTTATTCGCTTTGTGACATATTGGAATTATGAATAATTAAATTGATAATTAAAATACATTAAAATGTTCGAAATGAAACCGCTCGCGTTACGTCACAGTTAGTTTTGCCATTGTTCGCCATTGATCTCACGACTCGCTCTTCCTCTCGTCATCGCGTGTTTCAGGATCATAGAGAAAAATGCTGCGAAATCACCGTTGACCTACCATCAATTTCAAAACGTCGTGGCCAGCATGGACCCGCCGGAAATGCCGGTACCAACCGTGACTTCCGCCTGCATCGGCAGCGCTTATACTCCCCTCAAGGACGACCACGACGACCATTACGGCGTGCCCACCCTCGAGGAACTCGGTGAGATCGATATCGCCGAATAAGATTAACGCTTCTCAACTGGCTCCGCGTTATCTGATTAGATACGTAACGTGTAACGAGTGATTAAAATGGAAAATGATGGCGAACGTTTGCAATGCAAAGATCTTGGGGTATCGGGCTTTCGTTTAAACGGCAGCTTCCCCAGCGAGTCTCGGGTCGGCTCCCTCTCAGCTCGAGGAGAGGTTTTCATTTGCATAGGAGACTTTTACGAATATTTTTCAAAGAAATGAGTAAAGATATCAAGATAGGCTTTTAACCATACTATTTATCATTAAGTACATAAAAATTGATATATAAGAAAGTATACCAAAATTATTTTCTTATTTAAAAGAAAATTCCAATTTCGTCGTCCAGGTTTTCGTATTGAGCGCCTCTAACTGATGGAGGATTCATTACAATTCGTGTAATAATCTGAAACAAATGGAACGAAAAAATTTGAAACATGTATTAAATTTGCTGAAGGATCAAAAAGTGTGAAAAAAGTTGAAATATAACAAAATGGCGGCCCTTCGAAGTTACAAATAATTTTTCCTCTCTCTTTTTCTTTTTTATCTAGTGTCGGGAAAAACACTAATTCTGAAAATTTTCCAAGATTTAAATTCAACCTTCAGTAAATTCAATATATTTTTTAAATTTTTTGGTCCTACTTACTTCAGATTATTATACAATCTGTAATGTTGCTCACCATTTAGTATCATCCGCACTCAACACGAAAATCCTGGACGGAATTTCAATTTTTTAATTATTTTTTTGAACTTAAAACAATGATAAATAGTAAAAATCTTATATTGGTATCTTTACTCATTTCTTTGAAAAAAAATTGCAAAAACTTGCTATTTCCCGGCTATTTCAAACAGAACCTCCTCTTAAGGTAAAGGGATCGCCCGAGGAAAGAGTCGCCTCGAGTCTACGAATTTCGTTGAACACGATCAGTGATCGGAGTCATGAACGACAATTGTCAGGCAACGCGGACGGTGAGCGTTTGGCCGGTTTGCTTGTTTTGCCGATATTAGGTAATAACCTGGTGCATTTTGAATGGAACGTTCTGGGTCGACCGACTATGGATTAGCACGAGTCCATCGCGCTGCGCCATGGAAAATTCATTCGCGGCAGATTAGCCGCTGCAGCATTAATGCGTTGCCCGTGAGGGAGCAATCAAGTATTACCTCTGTAATATGAATTTATCGTGCGTCGATAGCGGCACGTTGTGCAACTGGCGTTACGTCGAAACTCGTGCATTATTTTCCAGATTTTGCCCGCGAGACGACAAGCGAGATTCGGTTGGCAGGAAAAAAGAAGATCGCACGCGCGACGCCGATTGTTAATTATTTCGGCCGATTGTTCTCCTGTTGCTGCCAAATGTCAAGCGTCTCGAAGTCTTTTGTCGCGGTATATATGGCGTAAATAGCTATCGTTCATCTTTGACGCATTATAACATTCGTTTTGCCGTCCCTGTTTCCCTCACTTTCAAATGTCGCTCGTTATTCCGTCACTTCGCTTCTTTCCATTGTTATCAAATGTCAACGCGTATTCCGAAAGTTCTCTCTCTTTCTCTCTTTCTTTCTCGCTCTCTCGTGCAACTCTCCTCTCTTTTATTTTATTTTCGCAATTATCCGCGATGTGTGTCGAAGACGAGGTGGCGATGTCTTCCGTCGTATTAAGATTACGTCGCGCGGGCTCTCCTAAATATCGACGACCTTAATTTTAATGACGGATTCTTTGATCAATTTCGATGCAGTTTAATGAAAATTATGAGCGATGTTATTTACGCAGGTCTTTGCGAACATACGGGTTGGCAAGCGATCGAAAGCGCACCGTCTTTTTACGAAATCGGATTCTAGGGCGTAGTTAAATAACGAAATTTGATTACTCGCTTTAAATCTAACAACGGCGTCTGCTTTTTCGGAATTTCAATTTCCAGTTTAATTATCGCGAAATATTTAATATCGCGCAGCGGACGACTAATGAAGCTCCTTTTCTTCCTCCTCATTCTTCTCTTCCCCTTTCTCCGCGAGATTTCACGCAATGAAAAATTGTTGAAAACGGCAGGGAAGAAGCTGCCGTTTAAAGATTCAAATCGTCCAAACGATTTCACGATCGTCCTCCGATCGTCAAAGCCAAGTGATAGCTTTTAAGGTGACCAAATTTCCCAGCCCTGAATTCGGGACATTTCATAAATATGTGAAGCGGGGGAAGGGGGATAAAAAGATCCGAAAATTATTTGACTATCATTGAAAATGATGACAAATCGATGTCCCGAATAGCATTCGAAAAAATTCGGGCCAAAGGATGAAAAATCGAGACATCTGGTCACCTTAGCTGTATGTGTTGAGAAAGGAAGAGATTACTCCATAATAATGTACTTACGATATGTTTTGACGATCACACGTCGTTGTTTTCGGCACTTTAATACTTATTTTTGCAAGAGACTCACAGGACACAAGCGAAAGATGTATAGAATACATCGTTGTGTCCATCGCAGTTGCTGGGCATGAAAAGATCGCAGACGCGCGCGCTATCAATCACGTACACCAAAAGTTCATTAGCGCGTCAAAAGTGCCAAAAGTGCATGAATGTGGACGCGCCAGTGATGCGAACGAGATCGCGCGTCTACAACGACGCCTTAATCACTTGCTCGAGTTACTAATCGCTCTAGACCAATCGCGTTCGTTTCGCACTACGAGGTTGTCATCATGGTTATTCAATCTAGACGTTGGTAATGAATCGCGCGAAATGCTCGATCTTTTCGCGCCAAGCAGCAGCCATGGGCATACATCGATTCACATCGCTCCGCATTTCTCGTGTCTTTTATCCGTCGAAAGTGAGTCTCGCGCGTTAATAAGTCTCGAATATGTCGAGAATAGCGATGTGCGATCGCCGGGGCGTATCGTGAAGACGTCATTTGTAAGTAATCTTCTCGTTTCTCCTCGCGATATATGCGGCCGGTGCTTGTCGCGACGTGTCGTGCCGACATCCCTTACATTTACTAAAAACATCGAATCACTCAAATAGCAATAGAATCGGACGATCGTCCGATTTATTGAACGGGAATTAGAAATGCGATGGCAATCAGAGAGAAAGAGAGAGAGATGCGGAATATTTGGGCGGTTGCGTTAGCTTGTTAGGAAAAGAGATACGGAGAGAGAAGTATCTCATAGAGCGCATTCTTTTCGACCGCGGCGCCGTTCATATCTTGGCGTATATTTTCAGCGCGATTCAACAATCGCGCGACCATCTTGATTCTCGATCTTTCTGCATCGAGCAACCACCGTGGACATATTGATCGACATCGCTTCGCATTTTACGCGTCTTTAACCCGTCGAAAGTAAGTCTCGCGCGGAAATAAGTATCGGGAGTGTCGAGAATAGCGATGTGCGATCGCTGGAGCGTATCGTGAAGACGTCATTTATAAGTAATCTTCTCGTTTCTGCTCGCGGTATATGGAAGGTGACCAGATTTTCCAGTCCTGAATTCGGGACACTTCATAAATGTGTGAAGCGGGGAGCAAAGGGAGGGGGGTAAAAAGATCCGAAAATTATTTGACAATCATTGAAAATGATGACAAATCGGTGTCCCGAATAGCACTCGAAAAAATTCGGAACAAACAGTGAAAAATGGGGACTGTCCCGAAAAAATCGGAACGTCTGGTCACCTTACAGCTCTGCGTTGTAAAGTTGTGAAGTCGCGAAAGTACAATTACTTTTCGCGCGTACTTTCTATCCGGAAATTAAGTAGGCTGCAAGGCAAAATGATTTTGTCAAGAATTCATTGAAATTTGCAATACGTCTAAATTGTAGTATCACTTGACTAAGCTCAGGCAATTAGAAAAAGATTGACCCATCAAGAATTAAGGTATTTGAAAGTAATATTGACACTTTTTATATATACGTGAGGTTAGCATGTTATTTTTATTTTTTATTTTCAATTTTCTATCAGTTAAAGTTAGTGAAAACTACTACGATACTAAAAACTGATATACCGACATTATATATCAATTTCAGAATTATTGACGTACATATATATTTAAACATATTTCTTTCTATTATCTGTATATCTCTATTAATTGATGCACGAATGAAGCATTAATAAGATCAATAAAAAATATGTATTTATATAATATTTTGTTCGATAAATAGTGTGAATTAAGATAATAAGAATCTACAAAAACCAAGCATAAGTATCATATAGATACTATAATCAAATAAGAGAGAGAACTATAAGATTAAGATAATTAATTTTTTTAGCCTTTATTAGCTCTTATTAACTTTTATTACCATAATTAATTTTTATTAGAGCCAATAATATCTCCTTAGTGATAAATAGCGAGTTTATGAGTGGTGCCGTTGATGCGCGACTGGAAATTCGACACTGAACCTTACAACCTTCTCAAAGAGAAACGCGATGTAGCAAGATTGCAAGCTTTTAAAATAACAAACTTGACTTTTGGCGGACATTGTTCTTATTGCTTAAGAGTTCCCTCTTTGATTCCAGGCTTCGACACGGAGGGTCTACTACCTCCAGTGTGGGTCGGCGGCGAGAGCGAGGCCCTGGCACGGCTTGAGCGTCATCTTGAACGAAAGGCGTGGGTGGCGAGCTTCGGCAGGCCGAAGATGACGCCGCAGTCCTTGCTGCCGAGTCAGACCGGGCTCTCGCCTTATTTGCGATTCGGATGTCTCAGCACACGGTTGTTTTACTACCAGCTCACCGATCTGTACAAGAAGGTACGGCTCTCTCTCTCTCTCTCTCTCTCTCTCTCTCTCTCTCTCTCTCTCTCTCT